AAACAACGAATGAATATAATCTCATCATTGCGCTGAACTACTATCTGCTCGTTCATTTTCACATCTTTTCTCTTCCTTTGACCGATATACCTATTTCTTTTTTTTTCTCCTTGTTAAGATGGACAATGCGAGAAAGGTCATTGCATAACTCATTGCTTTCTTTTTTTCGATCGAATAGCATGAAATGCTCATATATATAGTCTATCGGAAAAATCGACACAAATATATGTCGTGGTCAAAAATAAAATTCAGTCAAATTTAAAATTTGCCCGGTCCAAATTGAAATTTTATTTTTGCCCAATATAATCTCAGTCAAAATTAAAATTTCAATTTTGACTAGACAAAATTGAAATTTTTTTCGATGAACAGAAGAAAATAAAAAAAAGAGAAAGTTAACATACTACTCAATTTGTTTTTATTTTACAATAGTTTTAAACAAATATCTTATGAATTCTAAATTTAGTCTATTCCAGGTGAATGAATCCGATACCGGATTCGACCGGTCAACAAAATCCTATGGAAATCTCGGTTACGGGATCACTAACGGATATGACGAGTCAGTCCTATTTTATTAGTTAAGTACTAATTAGCATCTTATCACAATAGTAGAGGTCGATCAGAGTCGCACTCTGAGATTCAATCGGATTCCGATAGTACGATCCGATCAGATTCAACACTCGGAATCCGGATGTCATTCCGTAATCCAGACTCCCATAGAATTTCGTCGATCCTATAGAAACTCCAATATAATCTGATCGGATCCAACAGGAATCCGCTCGAATTCGATTGTCGGAATCATTCTCCTAGAGAGTGTGTGGGTGTGGCTCTGGCTGTGACCGTGAATATAGTGGTCTCGTCGCCCATCCAAACACACCCACACCCACACACCCACATCCACACCCACACCCCCACACCCACACCCACCCACACCCACCACCCACACCCACACCCCCACATCCACACCCACCACCCACACCCACATCCACACCCAACTTTCGCAAACTCCTTTCTTTTATTGATAGAATTTTTTAACACAAACAAAAATGATTATAATAATAAAGGAAAATATTGATGAAAATTTTCTGGACAAACAAATGGTTCAGATATTTCAAGACATTTCAATTTACCACAAGTGGCACGTGCTGCATCATTTGTAAAATTGTTTGTAACTATTGCGAGTGGTTCGTATTTTATAAAAAGATTCAATAAACGAGGTAGATGAATGTTTTTATCGAAGAGAAATTCTTCAACATAATCCATATGTGCCATAACTAGACTAAGAAGCAAAAGATAAGGAAATCTAATCAATGTAGATGAATGTTGTTTATCTTTTTGTGGTTGACAATTAACTATGTATAATTCTTTGAGAAAAGGAAAATCTTGAGAGATTACTTGAAAGAAATAATGTTCAAAAGAATATGTTTCATCGGTCATAATCAAACACTGAACTTTATGAAACATACCACCTTGGAAAGAATTGTTCAGATGACAAAAATCTTCAAATTGATATGGAAGCGAATAAACATGGCATATACCTGCGTTCTTCATTACGATAGTTTGAACATCTGAACCAATTTGTCCATTTACTCTTCCAATAAAACTACGTTGAATTTCTTCATTCGATCTAAGATCAATTTTAATATTGTTGTTGAATAAACGTGTATCTATACTGAAAGTAAATTTTTTTAATCGTGGCATATAAATAAGGACTTCATCTTGTAATTGAATACCATCAATATAAGTCGAGTCAAATCTTATTACTGATAAGAATAAGATTAATTCTTCGAGATTTATCATTCGACGAAGTAATGGAATAATTAAATTATCATAAGCCATTATTGGATAAACTGAAGTCAATGAGAAAGATTTCAATTTAGGAAGTTCTTTCTATCAAAAAAAAAATTAAGAATATTCATCTGTTTAGTTTCGTATTTTTTCCTCAAAAAAGAATTGATCGAAACAAAACTAACCGTATTCTTTATCTTTGATATGACAGGTGAAATTTTTAGGATACAAATAATCAGCGTTGATAAACAATTGAGTCGTCCATCAAGAAGATAAAGACAATCAGCAAAATTGTCGACATTAATGTTCAATGTAGTTAATGTTGAAGATGTGCAATTTGTTGTTGATGGTTTGAAAATATGGACCGCCATTAAACGATAACGAGATGAAGAACAAAAATTTAAATAGACCAATCGTTTACATAATGATAAAATCAAGATAAATATCTCTGATAAAGTTTTAGATAATGGTGGCATTACTGTCTTAACTTCCATATCAATACAGAGATGTGTAATTTGTTCAGAGAGAAGATTACAGAGAATTGAATTACCTTAAATTTAAAAAAAAAATTCTTAATTTATATTTTCAGAATTTCATTATTATGTTAATTAATAATGAATAAAATGAAATAATTTACCTTTTAAATATTGCAGAAGAATTTTTTCTTGAAAATCAACAAGTGATAATGAATAAAGTTGAGAATAGGTAAGAGTAAGAAGACGATCCATTGAATATGGTGCGACAGTAAGTTGATTTACTTGATGACGAATTCGAGGTAAGATTTGTTTACAAATTCTTGAAAGAACTTGATCATCAATTGAATAGATACGATCAAATACTGATCTGATGGTCATGGTGGTCATATTAAGATGACGAATATAAAGATGATCGAGTATTAATTGATTAAATCGTTCATTAACATCCACAATTGAATAAAGAACATCAACCATATTCAGTTCCTTACAAATGATGAGTAAAATTTCATTCGGCAAATCAAGTATATTGAGATGATTTTTATTTGCAGTGTTCATGTTTAATTCTTGATATCTATTCGTTTCAATTTCTATATGTTTCTTTTCTCTCGCTGTCGTCTAATAAGAATAATAAAGAAAAAATATTTATCTCGTTATTAGACTATCATGATTTTAAATGATCACCTTTTTCTTTCTGTCTGAAATTTTTGTGTTATTCATTATCAGTGTATTCGTCAGGTCATTCTTCTTTCGTCATAATGTTTATTATGTACGATGCTCTTGAGAGCGCAAAGTATGATGTTGAGATTATGGCATGGCGAAGCATTAGCCACCATAGCATGAGGAAGGTTTAAACTGAGAAAAAGGAAAGAAAATGCTCTCTACAATCGAAAGTGCACTAGGGTGTGGAGTGGGGTGGGATATGGGTGTTGTTTGGGTGAAGAGAAGATCCACAACGGCATAGTCATACCAGCACTTACGCTCACGGTCGCACTCATGCACTCCCACAGCCACATTCACACCCGCCATTGTGATCGCATCGTGGATTAATTACCCACCAACTGCACTCCTACGCATCATCTTCCTTTCAGACTCCTTCCAACAATAGCTTCTTTGTCACTTTCTTGCCATACGCACGTCAGTCCACTGATCAGAAAAAAATACTTTATTCTAGACGTCGCTCTCTACTGGTCTACCCCGTTATATGTAATCTATATGCATGCAAAAAAGTTTTATTCACTGTCAAACACGCGCAGTACAACGCTACACAATGACGCTCTTTATCTCTCTCAGAAAAGCATGTCCACTTTTTCACATAGACGCTCATAACACTAAATCTTCAACATAATCGAATCGGAGACAAAGGAGTTCAACATCTAGCTGATGCATTACAACATAACACCGTGATACTCTTTCGCTCTTCATCTTTTCCATATACCCATCTGCACTTTTTCATACAGACACTCGCCACACTAGATCTCTCTCGCAATCAAATTGGAGAGAAGCTTGAAAATCTTATACGGAAACTACTTCAGCGAAATAAACAATGAATAAAACCATGGATATTGAGATTGGTGATGGTTCAGTTAAACAACTGAAATAGTCAATTAAACACATGACTAATTAGTTTTCGTATCTGTGGTTGTAACAGTACCAGTATTTTCTTTACTTTTTATGTAAGTGTACAAGAATGTTTACATACATTCAGATTTCATTTGAGAGATGAAATAAAAACCGTTTAGCTAGTCTATGCACCGATGTGGCTGTTGAGTCTGGAACGAAGAGTCATAGTGTTTATAGCGTCACTGCTTGTGGTCATTTTACAGTGAGAAATAGGCGTGCACACTGTTTTCAGTGTAAGTAAGCCTGAGCGATCTTCCGATTCAAAGGTTCCATCGAGAGTGTGTGCTTTTTTAATGAATGTTGGTCAACTCATTTGTTGTGAGTGTTAAGCTTATTTGTGCTTCAGCTCCTAATTGTGTGCATTGAATTGTGGAATGATTCCAAGTTATCGAAACTTCGTTTGTTATTTTTTAAAATATAATTTACTCATACTTGGTATGTCTATTATCTAATGTTGATAAATTCACCTTCGAACGAGCTATTATGAATTTATAAATATCAGGCACATATGCTCAGCGATTTCATTTCTGTTGAAATTGCTATGATGAGTACTTTATCGACAAAATAAACTGAATGTATATATTTGTGCAATGTTTCAGCATCTTATTGCTAGATCCACTATCTCGGCTTGAGGGTGTGGATGTGGGAGCCGGTATAAATCAAATGAACATCTACACTTCCGTACTCTGTAAAAAGAAATTTATTCTTCCATGAAGATGCAACAATATTCACATTTGAAAACAAAATTTGTACAAGATAAATGTTATGGGAAGAGAGAAATGAGATAGATGCTAATGATGTTTTCAAAAGAAGCACTCAGGTGTTTATAATAAGATATAACAGTTTTATAAGATTTGTAAAAAAAATGCTTTCCAGTAAAACTTCATTATTGATGACATTCTTTAATGTAAAAATTCATTGAAAAATTTCAAATAACAGGAGAATATTATGGAATATATATATGGATCGACATTAAGGAAACACACATTACCTAATACCTGAGCAAAATTAGAAAGATTCTTGAGAGAAAAATAGATGTTTGTATTCTTGGTTATAAATGAGTTTCGACAAAAAGCTTCTCGATGCCATTTATCAAAATTAATTTTCACTAGGTTGTTGTTAAGTTGGATTATTGTTGTTTGTCACTTGTTGTGCTTGCTGCTCAAGAAAAGCTTGTTTTTCGAGTTCTTGTCGCAATATTTCGGCTGCTCGGAGAGCTGCTTCTCGATCATCTTCGTCAGCAGCATTAAGCATGCTATTAGCTATTGCTACCATGTTTGTGTTATTGTCGGCCATTTTTCCACAAGTTATAAGAAGTGAAGCTGCGCTAGTCAATATAGAGAAATATTTAGTTATGCAACTAAATAATAACTTACTGTATTCGATTGGAATCTTTGCGTAATATGTAATACGATTTCTTTAAAGTTAGATTTTATTTATATATAAGTTCGACGCCTATCGGAAACTTCCATATTGGTAAGAACGTGATGCTTTACTTATTTCTGTAATAACTAAACATTATTGAATGAAACTTGGAACCTTCCAAGGTATTAATTTTAGAAATCACTTTCTGAGAAACGATACACTTTCGCAAAAGAATCAAACAATAGTATAGAAAAGTAAATTTATTGTTTTTTATGCTAGGTATGTGGTCGTACGCGTCTGGCATGATGAGTCATAAATATGACGGAGAACTATAACACAAAAACAGAGGATAAAAACGATCCTTTGCAGGAACTCAAAGTAGACCTATCAGTATCATGTCAGGAGAAGCATCTAACCTTCGTTTTACGGATATAATAAGACTTTCGATTTTAACTGATCGCATTATTTCACTAATACTAAATTTTTTAATGTATGAGTTTCTGTTATATCGTTTATTATTTGCATTCATTCTATCGTGCACAAATTTGAAACAAACAAGAATCTATAATATTCGTCTATCGAAATATTTTGTAATTCTTCATAACGGTTAGTTTAACATGCGACTTTAGTCACAGGATAGTTCCGATTTTATAGCAATTTTTTTAGACGTTACAGACCAAAAAGAATGATTAAAAAAAATAAATTCAAATGAAAAAAACTTTATATCGATCAACAACAATGCTTCATTGTCTTTAAATGTTCATGAAACTTCAAAATACATATAATAAGTGTTGACTTTTAATTTAATCTTAGATGATATCAATCTATGAAAAAAATCATTTGTTTAAGAGTAATAAAAAAGTTAAAATATTTTGCTTTGTTTTCATGAAGCTACTTGACATGCGTAACTGGTTAAAACAAGAAGAGTCATCTTTTTCACTGGAATAATTTCAAGAACTAGTAATCAAAAACCCTTTTAATTTCACAATCTATAATAAGAAAGCCATTCAATTCATGCTATTAAATTTCACTACTGATAAATAAAATATCGTAGGAAATTCATTATTCATTTGAATATGTACAGTGTATGATATAAGCATGGTGATTTATTTTTGTTTTTTGAATGAAAAACAAGAGGAAGCTCATCAATATTTTCCATATTTGTATGAAATTATTTTGGATGGTAAAGAAAAAAAACGAACGTCATGAAAAATTTTCCAACTTATTCTTTGACGTAGGTGCGAATCCTTCTTCTTTCTCACATGACACCTAGGAAGTATTATAATTGAATCAGAAAAAGAACGAAACAAGTGTCACCGAACAAATATTTATTTTTTTAGTTCCCCGTAAACCAATAAGGAACTACAATGCTTAGTCCGTATTCATGTCATACCATTTTTTACAACTACTGTCTACGTACGCGACCGTCAGAAGAACGAACGGGTTCTTTTAGACTAACGACAAATACTACCGATATAACGGGCATTCTACCGAATGGTCTGTGCATGATATTATATAGCTCAAATCACATGAATAATTTACAACAAGTTGAATATGAAAACCGACAAAAAATATTTATGAATATTTTTTTTTTAGATAAGGCTTAAAACAACGAAGAATATTACTTGCAACTGATGATTATATTTTTTTAATTTTTTAACTTCTTTAATAAAAATATATAGAAATATTGTAAGGGAATAGCAACTAGTGATCAATCGCGAAAATTACTTCGAGACATTCAAATGTTTCATCTTTACAATTATTCAGCATTTTTGTCAAACATATTTAAACAGCAGAGTATAGGTAGAATCATTATCGATACTCACACCCTTGTATTTTGATTAAATGTAGAAATATGCTCAAACATAAACAATTTTTGCATGACAAGAACTAATAGATTTTACAATACTTGTTCACTTACATTCTTTATCAGAATGTATTGATTTAGAGTTATTTAGTCAATATGAATTGAAGAGTGTGGGTGGGGATGGGGCTGGTGTGAGATAAGACACCTACACCCGGATCCACACCCACCCTCAGTATATTTGTACAAATGGTATTGAAGATTCAAAATATCAAAGATGTATTAGAAAAAAAAGTGTATCTCAACATTCATTTCTTTAGAAGATCAGATCATTGCCCTTTACTAACATCATCATCAAATGCTTTGAAATAGTTGAAAATTAATTAGAAAATAGTTTAATCTTTGAGATATCCTTCTTTTCGATTTTTCTGTAATGATATTGATAACTCATTCGATATACATTAAACGAATGTGTCAATCAATATAAGAGAACTTCTACGACAATTCTTATCATCACGCCTTCTTTTCTTTTTTGTTTTTAATATTATTTCTCGAGAGAAAAGAAGAATAATGTGGATGCAAAGCAGACGAAATAATGATCTATCACAATTCGGTATTCATTTAGTGATATTAATAAATTGAACCAAGTACTTATCGAAAAGAAAAATATCTTTGATTAACATGGGTAGTCGCTGTACGAGCGTATCAATAACAACTGGAGATAATAGTTTTATCTATATTGATCCAGCTCTAATTCCGAAAGATAATTGTACAAGTATTTCTCCTCTCATAGACATCTTATTTCTTATTTTCTTACTGTCGTTCATCATTTTTATTGTATGTTGTTGTTGTCGTCGACGTCGTCAAGCAAATCATGCATTAGTGACAACTGTACATCATCAAGAACAACTTCAATAAAACTGAAATTATTATTGTTGAAATCAAATCTTATTCATTTTGTTTGTAAATAGACTTCTTTTTCTTTGAAATAAACGGGATGATGAAAATATATTCAAAACTACGAAGTATTATTTTCTCAATGTCATCAGTCGATCAAACTCAAAATTTTGCATGTTCATGCCGATTGAATCCAAGAATGCGTGAATGAAAATTGTATGAATGCTTACTTACGAAAACAGAAAAAAAATAACTATACTATTCATTCGTCATGATACAGAAGAAGGCATGAAGTTTTTTCTCTTGAAACCTATAAAATCTATTGAAAAGAAATGATACAGTGTGATAGCAAGACATCTCTCTTCATCTACGCCTACATGCACATCCCACTCAGAGTTGAGAGTGCTTTCGAAATGGCAGGAAAATTTCTTCATTTTGTCACGAAGAGTTTCTCACTTTCCCAATTTCGAGTCTTTTTTTCTTAACCGGAATAGGGTGTGGGAGTTCGTGTGTCTGTAGACGAAATGAGCACACAACGTCCATACTCACACTTCATATCCGCTCTCCACACCCACACCTTGTTCTCTTACATCAACGTCAACCTGTGCATCTACGCCAATTGACAGCCACACTCATACCCTTTTATTGAGTGCTAGTAAATAGAGAAAACTCATATATACAGATTGATATAAAGGCCACAAAAATACAACAAATTGAAGAATTACTAAAGAAACACTGCGAAGTATTTTTTTTGAGCTGAAAAAAGATTGATTTTGGTATCTTTCAATCGAAAATGATAACTTTAAATTAGATTTCCGAAATTTGTCCGTATAAATAAAAATTTTTGCAGTGATACCTATCATTTGAAAAGAAAATAAGTGATTGAGCTTGATAAATAGTGGACCTATATGAATTTATGTTGTTGATGAACTTTTAGAGCATTCTGTACATTGAAAGAAGAATGTTATAGTATGTTAGTTCATCATCATATTTTGATACTTTTTGTAATACATGTGTTACGACATCGATCACCTTCGATGCTGCCTTTCATCCAATATCTTCCCATTCTTATTGCATAATCATTCATAATTTATTCTTGCTTTTCGGTGACTAAGGTGTAAAACAATGTTCTAACTCGTTTCAGATGTCCTTAATAGAACTGAGACCTTGTGATTGACCGAATCACATCAAATTATGCATTCAACTGTTGATAAACTACTAATATATTTTTGCATTCATACGTTTTAGATCATCATCTCGTGAAAAAATAAATGACTACATTTTGAGTCTCGTCGCAGATGATGTTGTATTTTCATTCAAAAATCTTTTATATTGTTCTTTATACATAATCCTTTTTTGCAAATACGAAATTTTGAACAGCACTGGTTGACGTGCAGATTTGTAATTATTGCAGAACCTCTATCATATTTAACTGTAGATTTTTAATATTCTTCTCTTATGGATTCATGCGATTGTCGTCAGAATTTCTGACATCCGTTTGATCAAAGAATAGAATTCTAAAATTCTTGTGACTTCGAAAAATGTTTTCAGATCTACAAAACAAGTTTTCTTTGATTTGGTTTTCCCTATATCTTGGAAATATTGAGGATACATCTTAAAGTAAAATCATCAAAAATTAGTTTTTCTCGCTTTCAAAAGTAAAACATATAGAAATATTTTTTATGCAACTATACATACAAAAAATTTCATTACAACTGATTAGTTCTAGTATTATATTGATGGAAGTAGAGGAGGATGTATAGTTTGTCACATTAAAATAAATTCAAACTATTGTATCAACAACATTTTATAACTATTTGTATCACGAGATACACAATGCTATTCTAATTGACTATGCCATGGAGAGAGTTTTGAAAAAATGCTTTTGAAATGTGTGAAGAAAAATGAGTAAAACTTCTATTTATTAAATATTCGCTTTCTAATCGAATAGAATTTTTATGATATTTAAAGTTCCTGATATTCATATGGAATATCGTTTAAAATTTTAACTTCTATTTTTTTTCATATGAAAAATAAAACTATCAAAAATAACGTAATCAACCTGTCATATAATTAATAACAGGTTGTATTCAACGTAACACATAAACACGTATAAGTCGCACAGACTAACAGAATCAATCTTACAGAAAGCAATTACGTCAGTTATCATATGGAAAACCCCTAAAAAGGCACCTTTATTAATATATAATTGACAAGGAATGTAAATACGTCAGAAAATATAAGTGTCATAAACAATCGCGTACAAAATAAAACAATGAGTATAGTATAAAAAGTTGATGAGCACGAAAATCATACCGATGATTCATGATATGAACAATTAAGGCAAGAATCAAAACAAAATCAAACAAATTCATTTGACATTTTAAAATAAACAAGAGAGTATGAATATGGTGCGTAAGAAGAAATTACTAATAGCCATACTTTTTTTTATGATCAAATAGCATATATCAGACTGTTGTTGTCTCTATAAAGTCTGTACTTTTTATTCTCTTCAAGTATTGTTCAACATTTTATGATACTCTTAGTTTGATTTTTGCGGTATATCTTCATAATATTATCAATAATGTTTATCACTTCTTTTTTCTAATTAATACCTTATGAGCAATTATTAGTTAATCTAAGACTTTTCAAATGAAATTCTACATACAAAAGTTGACATTCTCAACAATGATATATCATTTCATTATTCGCCAAAAAGAAAAAATCATTTTATTTAAAACATACTGTAATCACCTGTAAAAATTCTAGATTGAAAAATTTTCTACTTTCTATAAATAAATCGATTCATTCTCTTATTCAAATTTCAATTGCAATTATGAAATAAAAAAAGAGAAGAAAAATAATTAATGTTCATTATTATTAATTTGACTTTCATACATTTCATTGAAAACAAAAAAAAAAAAACAAAAAAAAATTAGAACATTTTCAGATAATTAAACTTTACGATCAAATTTTTTACTGAACAATATAAGAACTATGTACACAATAATGACAATGAAAAACGAACATAAATAACATATTAATGCACTATACATTTGTCGACGAGCTCTTGTTGTTGATGTACTTATGGTTGGATAAAACATTCCAAAATAAGTTGCAGATGGTTGATAAGTATTTTCAATAATTGATGATGAAAGTGATTCAAGTGAAACAGCTAAATGACTATCAATTTGACTTGATGTATCTGACTAAAAATTAAATTTATTAAAAAAATCTTCTAATTGTTTTTACTTACATATGCTTTATCTTGCCAAACTTTTCGACATATGGGACAATCTAATTTTTTCATAGTAAACCATTGCATTATACATTCATTACAAAATTCATATCGATGATCACAATTGATTATTGGTATATCAACTGATGTTTTTTCCAAACAAATACAACATATTTTATTACCATTTTGTTGATTAAGTGAGGTTAATGAAACCGTCCCATTCATTCTTTAACATCAAAATAAAAAATGCTGCTTGAACGGCTCGTTCGCTTAGTTGGACTGACCTTTTTCCATTTTTCTCTCGTTCCTTATATTTATGTCGCTCAGCTGATAATGTTAATAGAGAAGAAAAAAAAAAAGGACTGTCTCGACATGATGGCCGATGCTTTTTCTTCATCAAAAAGAGAACGATGAAGTTCATGCATATATATATATATGGATGTATGTACAAAATAGTCATCAGAAGAATAGAAAATAGAAGGACAGAAGTGTGATCATAAACCATGTGGAGCAATTGGTTCATAGCTCTGTAGAGTATACATATTTTCCCAAACATGTGAAAGACATACAGATGCATGAAAGCGAAAAAAAATTTGAAGTGGTGTGGCAATAGCAGCTATTATTGACCATGGTACAATATGATAGAAAGCTAATTGAAATGGATTAGCTTCGTGTTTTGTTGTTGTTGTCGTTTCTTCGAACCATAGACTAAGATCTAATATTATTAACAATGTCATAACTTCACGTGCTGGATATTCATGTTTACTATTTCGTATAAGACGTTTACGTAAAGCAATAAGTATAAAAAAAGCATGAATAGTACCTTCAATAAATTCTAAAATATAGAAAGAAAAAAAAAAGAAGATATCTAAATTCAATCTACTTTTGAAATATATTATTCTATACCTAAAATAACAATAATTATTTTAACATAAGCAATCCATGTTACTGAATTTTTATTAATAAGTAAAGCAAATGCACTAAATATTGAATATAAATAAATACCTGCTAATGATACAATAATTAAAACATTATCAAAACCTAAAAGATAAAGATTAAAATTGATATTACTATGCAATAGATTTAGTTCTTTTCTTTGTTTTGTTACTTACGTGTAGTTATTCTTCTATATTGTAATTTACGAATTTTTATTAATGCCCATATTGTTGCAAATAAAGAAATAATTAATAAACATAAATTAACTATTTCAACAATTGCTATACTATAGAGAATTTTTTTTGGTGTTTTTGATATTGAAGTAAATGGACTATGAGTAGAAAGAGTAAGTAATGAATAATTTTGATAAGATATTGTTGTTGTATGAACAATATTGAATGATGATGATATTGAATTTCTATCATCACTGATTTTATTTTGCAAAATAGCATAAAGTATAATTGATATGACTGTACATGAAAATATGATCATACCAACAAATAAACCTTTTATTGATGCATGACAATTAACCATAAAAACATTTTTACTTGAAGCTTTATTCGACATTTTATGAGTAAATGTTTTACCAATATTTTCCCATATGATAAAAAATAACTACATTAAGATTTTTTTTGTTAAGAAAAAAAAAAGAAGAATTTTATTATCGTAAATCTTACTGTTAAACACATAAGACTAAATTCAATTGTACATGGATATAAAAGTGGTTTTATTTTTATATAACCTTCATTGATAAAAGCAGTCATTGGAAGAGAATCATCCGTAGATTGTGTACAATGATATCGATTCATTAGACTTTGACGAATTTTTATTAAGTTGTTATTATTAATACTAACATTATTATGATGTTCTTTGGCCATTTCATAAGCATGCATTTCGAGTATTTGAAATTTTGTTTCACTAACAATCATACGAAACCTAAACATAATTATTTGTTAAATATAATTATCAATTTGATAGTGTCAGTATACGAATGATCTAAAATGCTAACATTGATACTAATTTTCATAGTACAAGTATTATTATTCACAATTCTAATCACTCAAACTAAATGTTATAAATAGAATTATAGCAAAAGCATATTTATGAGAATTTAGACTATATACGAAAATAATTCGTCTGAAGAAAAACTTTATCTACATGTTCAATTAATTACATACCATACACATAAATTGGTTACAACAACATGCATTACAGCTAATCGTGCAAAATTTTCATGTGCTCGAATAACTAACTAGATAAAAAAAAGAGGAAATAAATTCTATTATAAATAAATACATACATTTGAATGTTTAAAAATAAAGAAAAATTGAACAAAACTAAATAATAATCGTGAAAAATCATCCATAACAGCTGTCCATGGTGTACATGGAAGATGCTCAAGATAACTTAATATTGATAAACCTGAATGTATTACTGTACCAAGACAAAAAACTAAATTAATATTAAAAAAAAAACAAAACAAATTCAGACACATATGGATGATTGACTTTCCCTTACTTCCGATTCCGACACGAATATAAAGACCACCAGCTGTTGAATAATCATCATAATTATATCCAATAATTCTTTGAACACTAGGATATTTTTGATGATGTATATTATTTCTTTGTGTATGATCTATAGTTTGTCGTTTCATTAAAATATTAATAGATTTACCCATAAAAATTGATGAATTATCTAATGATTTAGATCTTTTATGATTATCTTGAAAATGATTAGTCTCTTCATTAATTGAAAATGTTGAAGAATATTTGAAATTTCGATTTTTTCCAAACATATTCATTTGTATATGATTTGAATCTAAACTATTAATTTTCGATGAATAAATATTTGATTGTCGTTTATGACCAACAATATCAGCAATACAAAATATAATCCAAATTATTGATAACCAATAAAGATATGTAAAATAAATCTATGAAAACAAAAAAGAAAAAAAATCCTAAATAAAAGATTTCAAACTTTTATTTTTAATACTGCTGCTAAATCTTTTATATTTTCTCCTTGTTCACGCGGTATAATAGCACGAGAAATTGAAAATGCTACACCACCAATAAAGACAACTAGAAAAATAAAAGTAAACAAATCCAATTTGAACATCGAACTTAACTAGATTTCATTTTTCTTTTATATTAATTTCACATAAAATTTTTTTTTTTCTTTAATTACGTACCTAAACCATAAAGAATACTGGCAATTTTATAAGCATCTGCATTTTCATTAAAGTGCCTGTAAAGAAAAACAAATCATGATTGAAAATATAGCTAAAAACCAAAGAAAATGATTCACTGCTTTTTGATCTTATATTTTGTCCATAAGTGTAGGATAGCAGCAGGCAGGCTATCTTGGACTCGAAATTTAGCCAATGACAGAATCTCATCTAGATTAGCTTGTGTACAAAATTTCAGAAGTTTTGAATGTAGCATTACTGAAATATGGATTTTTCAAAATCGCCATGTTTTACACAGTACATACAGAATAGCGTCTGTCTTTTGAATAATTCATATCTTACTGGTGCGGTATCCGAAAATTTTGAAATTTTGTATACAAATTTTGCTGAAAAATTTCAACAATATTTCTATATCTGAATGAGATTACAACATAGATCCATATTCTTTTAAGCTTTTTCTAATTCACAGCTCTCCTACTTACGGACAAAGTATGAGATCAAAAGCAACAAATCACTTTGAACGGTACTCTCGTAAGATTATTCTGTTTATTCTTTGTTGGCGTGTTTGTAGAACCACATACTGTTAAGTAGGATCGATTTACATTATTACAATTAAGAGATAAAATGAATAGACGAATGTTTAGAAAGAAAATAAAAAAATATTCAAATTGCCTAGTATCTTAATTCTACTCAAGAATAATAATAATCATACGTTCTATTAGATATATGATACTAATTTACAAATTTCTTCTGTTCATGCAGCCGTATGTAAAAAAATAGTGAATAATACAAACTGATGTTTATTAGGGATTCCATTGATAATTACCCTCGACGTAATAATGGTTTAAAATCACATTTATTCGATTTTGTTAATGAATGATGATGAACCTTTAATACGAAATTTTTTTCCATTATTGTTAATTTATTTGATTTGTTTTGCGATTCTATTATGAAAAATTATTTCTTGTGTAGTAGTTACATCTTCATTTGACAGGAATGGATACTAAACTCTATAATGTTTAAATGATATTTGAGACTTAGTTTATCTGAAAAAATCGTTTCTTACTAATGATGGTAGACTTCAAACTGAAGCAAATTTTATATCAAAGTGATTTTCCATATGGTTAAACTGAGTAATATGGAATAAATTCTGCATAGATTGGTCTTGTTTTTCATATGTAAATGAAATTTTTCTCTTTTTCTTTCAAAATGTGCAAGCTGACTTCATAAACCAATCTATTCTATCTTTCTCGATTATATATGATTGACGCCGCTGACTCTCTCTCTATACTTTATCATTTGACAAATAACATATATTTATCTAAGTAAGAGAACAAAACATGATTTAAATAATAATTCATCATCATTATACCATATAGATTTTATTAATATGTATGCACATTTGTACACACGTATAGAAAGAAAAAATCTCATTCAATTAAAATAGATTTTATATTTTTATAGTCCAGATAATGTAACTGGTTTTTCACTACCATAATTCATTGAATCCGTTCGATACATAGCTGATGTAGCATGAACTGATGTTGAACTTGGCATTGGTTGAACAAATGGAGTATCTATTGGACAATATTTCGTATCTTTAGCATTGACATGACTTGGAGTAACAAATTGTTCACCTTATGAGATATAAAAAATAAATAAATATATATATGCATTACTAAAGAATAAAATGAATACATACGAGTTTCTGTTGTAAGACCTGAATGAGGAATAAAACGAGGTGGTTGATGAACTTGTCGTATTTTCGTTGGTGTTGAAAACCATATTGAATCACGCATTGGTAATTGTTCACGTTCAACACTATTTATAGGTAATGGATTTGTTGCATTACCATAACCCCATGCTTTAGGATATTCTTCAGCATCCCAATAAGATAATGGATCTTTTTTACCAATACCTTGCCATTCATCTCTAGAAGAAAAAAAAAAGAAATTCTTTTTCTTTATGAATTAATTTTTTCCTCTGATAATAATGATATACTTTCTCCATCGACGATGTTCTTTATTATATGTTGTTAAATAAGGATCAAGAAGTGTATAAACACCTTGTTCTGATGGATCCCATGTACGTGCAACTGTTGCTGGTCTTACTTGTCGTTCATCTTCACGTAGAGCCTGAATACAATTTATTTAATTCTTATTTTTTTTTTTTTTGTTATTCACAAAAAAACAAGGATTATTACTTTAGTCACAGGTGCTTCGGATTGGGTTAAATAAGGTAATTGTCCATCGATACGATCTAATTCTGCTTTTATATTTGGTTTCATATCATATTCTTCTTTATATTCACTTTTTTGATGAGACATTGATAATGGACGACTCCAATCACGTGCTTTAAGTTTTTCAACAAAATCACTCATGTAATTTACTTAAACAAAAACAAATTGAACTTTTATATGAGACAAACGTAACAAAGAAAAACCCTATTAATTGTATACCTTTCCATAAGGCTGGTGCTTTTCTATGCATATTTACTTGATCATTATATATTTCTTGTTGAGGATATTTATTATCAAAAAAAGCCGCATTCGTTGTTTTAAAATGTTCTTGTGGTGTAACTTCATCAGCAACATGTAATCGATTTGGTAATGGATCAGTAAAAACTCTCTAATAATATAAAACATTCGAAATTAAAAAAATTTCATAAAGAAAATAAAATCACAAAAACCTTAAAATTCGATGATGGAAAATAATATCCTGGTCGATATTGATGACCAACACCAGTACTTGTTTGAAATAGATCTTGTCGACGTTGAGCAGAATTTGAATCAAGCATTCTTTCTTTTTTTGCTCTTGTAGTTGATAAGAAAATAAAATCTACAAGTAATAATAACTATTCAAACTACTTTTCATTGTCAACTATGATTAAATTTTGTTACTAAGCAATTTCATTTATTCAATTGTCTTATGTCGCTAGTTGACAGTCAAAAAAGAAAAAACCATATCTGACATTTGATTGGAACAGTTTATCCAATAATATAAAGAGCAAACTAAAAATTTTTAAAATACACACACAACAACGTCATCAATTCATTTACTTTCATAATTTCATGATGATGTTTTCAAGTGATGGTTTTCTTACTGATACTTCTTCTTCAACTACCAATACAAATCAAACACATATATTTACATCTTTTCCAAATTCTGCTGTAGATCCTGATGATGAACAATCAGGAAATAAAACAATGAATCCATCAGATTCAAATCAATATACACTTCCATTACCAGCTACGGCAAATCAAACAACATCTGAACAATATCATATGTGGCAAATTGAATATTATCAAAAATATTTTCAAATTGATACACGACAAGTACTTGAACGTTTAATTGGTTCAATTACACCAAGACCAAATAAATCATATTTTGATTCAACAATAAGACAAAATCCTGATTTATATGGACCATTTTGGGTTTGTATTACTTTTATATTAACTGTTGCAATTAGTGGTAATATAGTAGATTATTTTCATAAATCTACTACTGAATTTCAAATTGATTTTTCAAAAATTACTCTATCAGCACTTGTAAGTAAAAAACAAAAAAACAAAACAATAATTTCTAAATATAATTTTCTTTTTATAAATAATAGCTTATTTTACTTTATTGGTGGTTAATGCCAACAGCTATTTATTTTTTTTTTCGTTGGCGTTTAAATCGTATTGAATATACATTTCTTGAATTACTTTGTATTTATGGTTATAGTTTAACTATATTTATACCAATATCAGTTTTATGGATAATACCAATTAATTGGTTACAATGGACATCAACAATAATAGCATCAATAATAAGTGGTAGTGTTTTAATTGTTACATTTTGGCCAACAATTAATTCTGATCATAGACGTTTTAGTGCTTTATCAATGTTAATTATTCTTTTCGTACATTTATTAATGGCACTTTGTATTATGTTAGTTTTTTTTCATGTATCTGATAAAAATATTAATCCAACAATACAAACAACGACAATGTTAACAACAGTTTTATCATCGACAACAATAAAAGTGTGAATTTTTTGTTTTTCTGGTTTTTTTTACTAAACATTCTTATTTATATTATGGTGGTTTTTGCTTGTTTTCACAAATAAAATTATAATAAAACATATATAAATTTTTGTTTTGTTTATAATATTATAATTTAATTTCTATATTTTAGATAGAAATTAATTTATATCTTATTTATTAATTTTTTTTGTTTTTTGTGAATTAGTTTTTAAATAAGAATTTTTAAAAGAAAAACTATGCCACCTAAAAAGAAAGAAGAAGCTAAACCAAAACCACTTATTGGTCGTGTTGGTACTAATCTTAAAATGGGTATTGTTGGTTTACCAAATGCTGGGTTTGTTTCATGTTCTTTATAAGTTTTTAATTATTAATAAACTTTATTTCTTATAGAAAATCAACTTTTTTTAATATTCTAACTAAATCTAGTGTACCTGCTGAAAATTTTCCGTTTTGTACGATCAATCCAAATGAAAGTAATATTAATACAATTCAATCGATCATTGAATATATATATCTCATGTTTCTTAGGTCGAGTACCTGTACCTGATGCACGATTTGACTTTTTATGTCAACATTATGAACCATTAAGGTATATATTATATATAAAAACATATCCTAAAATTTCATCTTGCAATTTTTTTTTTTAGCAAACAACCAGCATTTCTAAATGTGAATGAATAAAAATAATTATTTTATAAATTTTTATTTATTTTATTAAATTTAGGTTGTTGATATTGCTGGTCTTGTTAAAGGTGCAAGTGAAGGTCAAGGTAAGCAAAATAATATTTATAATACAAATCTAGATAAAATTTATTATAGGTCTTGGTAATGCATTTCTATCACATATAAAAGCATGTGATGGTATATTTCATATGGTTCGACTTTTTGATGAAGTTGATATAGCACATGTTGAAGGAAATGTTGATCCTATTCGTGATATTGAAATTATTCATGATGAATTAAGATTAAAAGATCTTGAATTAACAAAAAAAATTGCTGATGATTTAGAAAAAAAAGTTATACGTGGAAATGAGAAAACATTACGAGCTGATTATGTATGTATAAAAAAATTAATTTTTTCTAGACAAGAAGAAGAAAATAGGAAAATCAATAGAAATAAATTTGAATATTGTTTTTTTTTTGTTTTAAATAGGATATCATACATAAAGTATTAAATATTTTAAGTGAAGAAAAAGGTAGTGTTCGTTTTGCTGATTGGCATGAAAAAGAAATTGAAGTTTTAAATAAACATTTATTTAATACATCAAAACCTATGGTTTATTTATTAAATATGTCTGAAGAAGATTATATTAAGAAAAAAAATAAATGGTTAGGAAAAGTTAAACAATGGATTGATGAACATGATCCAGGTTCAACTGTTATACCATTTAGTGCTAATTATGAATATCGTCTTGTTGATTTACCTGATGAAGAACGTGAAAAAGTTATTAAAGAAACAGGAGCAACAAGGTAAATTATTAAATAGATGATTTGTTTTTTTTCGTTTATTTTAAAATATTTTAGTGCATTAGAAAAAATTATTCTTGCTGGTTATCGTGCATTACAATTATGTTATTTTTTTACTTGTGGTAAAGATGAAGTTAAAGCATGGACAGTTCAAGTTGGTACTAAAGCACCACATGCTGCTGGACGTATACATACGGATTTTGAAAAAGGTTTTATTATGGCTGAAGTTATGAAATTTGATGATTTTAAAGAATTTGGAAATGAAAATGCTGTTAAAGTAATACAAAAAAAAAAAATTTTTTTATTGACAATTTTGAAAGAGAAAAAAAAAATAATATTTTTCGATTTCTAGGCAGAAGGAAAATATCGACAACAAGGCAAAAATTATACCGTTGAAGATGGAGATATTATCTATTTTAAAGTGAATGCAGGCGCTGGTTTAAGTGCATCAAAAAAATAGGCGCAATTGTCTATTTAGTTTTCTTTTGCTTTGTTACAGATTTTTTTTTTGTCTAAATAAACCTGATCAATATGACATTTTTTTTTCAGATATGTCGTGGAGCTCTGAAGGTTTTTTTAATCCTCCTTCATATAATCAACAATATACTGGTCCAACATCATACGAACTTCAACAACAACAACAACAGCAACAAAACTATGCTCGTCCTCAACAAAATCTTCCATATCCAAGTGGTAATTTTATGCCATCACAATATAATTTAAATTCACAAGGAAATCCAGCTCAATTCTATCGACCTGATGATTATAATCCACCATCAACAAATCCAACAAATCCAGAGGATGGAGAAGTACCTTTACTTGAAGAATTAGGCATTAATTTTGATCATATATTTAAAAAAACAAAATCTGTTTTAAATCCATTTGCAACACCAGATGCATCTATACTTGATGATGTTGATCTAGCTGGTCCACTTGTTTTTTGTCTTGCATTTGCTTGTAGTCTTTTATTATTAGGTAAAATACATTTTGGTTATGTTTATGGTATTGTTACATTAGGTACGGTTGGAATGTATGGTCTATTAAATATGATGACATCCCCAGATAAACCATGTTCAGGTTTATTCGTAACAAGTGTACTTGGTTATTGTCTATTACCAATGGTTATTCTATCATTTTCATCATTTTTATTTAAATTAAATGGTTTAATTGGTTTAATCGTTGCATCAATATTTATTTTATGGTGTTCATTATCAGCTTCGAAACTTTTTGCAACATCATTAGCAATGATAGGACAACAAATTCTTGTTGCATATCCTTGTGCTTTATTTTATGGAATTTTTGCTTTGTTAACTATCTTTTAAAAGAGAAAAATAAAATAAAAATATTGTGTTTTTGTTCTTCGATATAATCAAGCAAATAATTGAATTCTAAAAACAAGAAAAAAAAAAGGAACTAACAACGAAACATTCACAAGTGTTTGCCTCCTGTTCAGCTGATTTTGATGTTTTATTTTCATGTATCTCATTAGAAAAAATAAAAATTCCGTCATGCAACACATTCTCGAATATAATTTCCTTTTTTGGTATACTTTAATTTACTTTTTACGTGACTCCAAAAAAAAATTACACAACTTCATTTTAATGACTCACCCAACGCACAATGTAGAAAGGTAGACACCACATATGAATTACCATATATGGTCATCATACTAGACGATATACCTTAAATAGCTTCAAAACTATTTCTTCAGGTAAACTATATAAAGCTTAATCAATGTCCACCATGACATTAATATTCAACGTTACATTAATTCAACTACATCATAAAATTCAAACAAGATGTCATACAATGGTAGTGATGAATTGAATGCCATAGTCATTGATAATGGATCCGGTATGGTTAAAGCTGGTTTTTGTGGTGAAGATGCACCACGTGCTGTCTTTCCAGCTGCAGTTGGTCGACCCCATTATACATCTATTATGCCTGGAATGGGTCAAAAAGATTCCTATATTGGAGATGAAGCTTTAGCTAAAAAAGGTATTTTAACTATTCGTTATCCAATTGAACATGGTATTGT